ATTCTGGTCTTTTGTGCACTGCCAGCATTTCAGGTAGCAGAGTTGTGCTCTGATTACATCAATGGATCCTCCAAATCAAAGCTGAATAGGAAGTTTCAATTTTATATGTTAGTGAATGTTTTTTGACCTCTGTATAGAATGTTTTATAGGTAGTGCTTCAAAGATTTTAAAGCCATGTTGATTCCAAGTTAAAAATTTAAGATCTATTCAGCTTTAGTTTTGGGGGTGGGTGTTATGAGAGCACATCTTAGCGGCCTAAAGCTGCTGCCTTAGAATGATGTACAAAGAGCATTTTATGACTGTGAAAGTGTGGAGCATTTGAGAAAGTTTAAGGAGACTGCTGGTAAAGAAAACTGCATGGTATGTTATCTTAAATAGTAATTCCAAAGTCTGTATAAACTTTAATTACGCAGAATATTTTTACTTTTCTGAGATATTTGAGCTGATTTAAATAATAAGACAGATTTGATTTTAACTGGCTTTAGATGGGCCATTTGAAGAAATAATCTGATATTTAATTCTATTTGGACAAGGTCTAACGCAGTGTTTTTACGCTAGATGGTGCCACCAGGCCATGAGGTACCCCTAGATTGTAGTCCTCAGAGCACTTGAAGGTGGGTGAGTCCTGAGGGTGTGCTGTAGTCCAGAAGCACTGCTAAGCCTTTACCCCACTTTCACTGCTTAGGTCTGTTCTTAGGTTTGGAGTGCTCCGTATTCTCCCACTGTCTGGTGGGTGGGTGTCAGAATCCACTAAGGGTTCCAGGCCACTCAGGACCATTGTAAGGCCTAGGTTAATTCACTGGAGATTTATTAATTCAATCGAAAACATTTATTGTGTGCCTGCTGTTGCTAGGTACTTATCTAGATGCTGCAGATACAACTGTAAATAAAATAAAATCTCTTCTCTCACAGAACTTATATTCTAGTTGGGCAAGATAGACGAATATCTGAAACTCCTCATATTTCCATGTTAGGTATAATTACATGTTGTTTGGGTCCAGTATAGATCCTCTAGGGAGCTGAGAACCAGAGAGGATCCTTCAGGTCACCTTGATTTTTTAAAATATTTCCTTGGATGATAGGATAATAATTTGAGCGAAGGTGGATGATATATCTTAAAACTGGTGGTAATTTTTAGTATTGCTATTATATTTTGGACCAGGTTTACTTGATTTAAACTTTTTCTTATTTATTTAACTTTATTTTTTGAGTATGTAAAACATTTATATGGTACAGAAGTCAAAACTACGTAAACAAGTATTAGGGAGTCTTACTTTTATCTCTATTTCCTCCAACCTGTTCTCACCTCCATAGGTAATCATTTTTCTGGTTTCTATTTTAACTTTCCAGTGTTTCTTTTTAATTGCATTAAATCTTGCGAGAAGGGAAGGAAGGAAGGAGGTGGGAAACTGAAGGAGGGAGGTGCATGGGTGGGAATGGAGAAGAGTTCTATTTCATTAATGTTTGTGAAATGTTTTATCGGCACTCTTTTTGTCCCATTTCCATTTCTACTAACTCTGAAAAAGGCAATATTAAAAAAATAAACATTTTATTTTTGAATGATTTTAGATTTACAGAAAAGTTGCAAAGATAATACAGAGAATTCCCTTCATTCAATTTCCCCTAATGTTAACATCTTACATTTGTCAAAACTAAAAAATAACATTGGCACGTAATTATTAATTAAACTCTGTTTTATTAAAGTTTAGCATTTTTAAAAAATAATAAACCCCTTTATGATAAAATTGGAATGAATGTTACTAAAGAAGAAGCCAAGACACAGGGCACAAGAGGACTCATGTACATTTACTGCCTTTCACCAAGATTACATCAGTATATTACCCATAAAGAATTGATTTCCTTTGTTCATTCCAGCTGCTGGGAGCATCTTGTATTTTAATTAATCATAATGTAATGAGAATACTTACCCTAATGCTTTTGAAATAAATAAAATAAGGGAAAAGGCAAAAAGTCGTACAACCCAAGGTCGGTGCTTTAAGTATAGTTGGTTAATTTGTGGAGGAGTTTTTGTCTTTTTATGAAATGCCCTGATGTGGTCAATTCTGTTTTATCCACATCAGTGGAGGGAAGCATAGAAATAATAATGATACACTGGTAATCCACCCAGATGAGTGTTTCTTGACTCCACTGCTGATTTTGGAATCCTGGAGCTTGGAGTCAGAAGGTACCTTGTAGGTGGTTGTGCTAACTTTCTACATAATATAAAGATCTCTTCAGCAATATCCATGCATCCATTGCATTCTCTGTCCAGTCACATTACAATCTCTGTCCAAGCCCTGCATACTGCTTTTAAGGCAGTCAGTTCCATTATCATTGTATTTGTGGTAAAATTATTCTCTTGAGTTGAAGGATAGGTCACTGCTCTGTCCTCTGTAGCAACAGAGGAGTGTAAGGACCAAATTGTATCTATTAGGTATATACAGATATAGGTGTATATATACCTACATATATAGGTATAAACCCTTTGCTTGCTTTCTGCTTTCTTTCCTTCCTTCTTTTTTTTTGAGGAAGATCAGCCCTGAGCTAACATCTGATGCCGATCTTCCTCTTTTTCTTTTCTTTCTTTTTTTTTTTTTTTTGCCAAGGAAGATTGGCCCTGAGCTAACATCTGTGCCCATCTTCCTCTACTTTATATGGGACGCCACCACAGCATGGCATGACAAGTGGTGCGTCGGCACACGCCTGGGATCTGAACCCGTGAGCCCCGGGCCCCCGAAACGGAGTGCGCGCACTTAACCACTTGCGCCACTGGGCTGGCCCCTGGTAAGGAAGGTTAGCCCTGAGCTAACATCTGTTGCCAATCCTCCTCTTTTTGCTGAGAAAGATTGGCCCTGGGCTAACAACTGTGCCCATCTTCCTCTACTTTATATGTGGGACGCCTGCCACAGCATAGCTTATTTTAGCGGTGTTCACGTCCGTGCCCGGGATCCCATCCTGTGAACCCTGGGCCGCTGAAGTGGAGTGTGCGAACTTAACCACTACTCCACCCAGGCTGGCCCCTCTTTCCTTCCTTCCTTTTGAGATGTCCCTCTCATTTATTATTTACTATTTTGTTTCTTTGTTTATCTTTGGTTATTTAGAAATGTTGGGGTAAAGAAATGAATAATGATAATGAGTAACCATAACCTCATAGGGTTGTTATGAAGATTAAATAAGATCACATGTATGAAGTGTTCAGCATAGTACATGGCACACAGTAAGTATTTAATACATGCTAACAGTATAGTGATGGTAATAGTCTCTGTCCTCAAGTCTTTTCGTCCTAGATTAGTAGGGAAGATAACTATAAACAACTAGGTATAATACAAGGCTGAATGAAGTAAGTGGTATAGTAGATAGAGATGGAAGCAAAGTTCTTATTTATTCTAATAAAAGGGCAACTAGTTTCAGTGAGAGAATCAGGAAGGAGGAATCTTCTCTCCTTAACTTTGAAGTAGAAATAGGATCTCCTTAAAGAGAATAATATTCTAGATTGAGGGGCGAGCATTAGCAAAAGCATGGAGCTCGGAACGTGCGTGATGTTTTTCATGGAACTTTAAGCAGTCCTGTGTGATGAGGGGTTAGGTATGCGGAAGATCTAATGGGAAGTAAGGATTGGATATGGAGAGGTCAGATTGCACAGGGCTTTGAAAACAGTCATGGGACGTTTGTGCTTTATGCTAGAGGCTTTGGGTAATATTTTCAGGTCTTTGAATAGAGGACCAAGATTGCAATCTTACAGCAAAATAGATGTGATTATTGTGTATAGGCAATTAGTGGTTCCTGTCAATTTAAAATTTTGACTGAGAGGGCTAACAAAAAATATGTAGTAGGGGGAGATAGTTGCTTTAATTCAGGGTGTGACATGGAAACCATTGGCTGATTGTGGAAAAATAAATCTTTTAGAGTAAGCCCAAGGAACTTCTTGTAAATACATTTGGGGCTTTTCATACTTAAAGGATTAAACAAATTTATTAGACAATAACCTTCTCTCTCAAAGAATCTTAATCTCCAGATTGGGAGAAAGGATTGGGTTGGTATGTGCATGGAAAGAAAGAACTGTTCTTTTCTGGCTGACTGCACATGTAATTGAAGACGGACTTACCTCAGTAGAGTGGGCCGTCTTTCAGCCTGAAGGGAGAGCTTTAAGCATATTTTAAAACTGAGCACTTGGTTTCTATTTTTATGTTTCTGAAAATAATTATCCAACACAAGGAACTAGCTTTTGGGAATGAATCTGATGTGCCAGACTTCAGCATTGCCAACATTTTCTCTTTTTGATGTGAGATGATTTGGTTATCCCTTAAGTTATCTTGTATTTTTGTTGATTTCTGCTGTTGCTTATGGAGCTTTTGCCTTTCAACACTTGTAACTCCAAATAATTTGTGCATCCTAGTTGGAGAAATTTTGCGGAAGGAATCCTGATAGGAAATAGAGATTGGTTGGCTGCTGGTCAAGGGAGAATTTAATTTAAGCTCACAACAGTTGGGTTATTAGCTAGATGGAGTGACCAGTGAGTTATTTTCTGGCTTTGGTTTCTTTTCCTGGTTGTACAGATCATCTGGCATCTAGACTAAGCTAGCAACAGGGGCCTATGTGTGTAATACTTGCTGATTTTCTGTTGGTGTGTGTTGGACTTTGTGTGTCCTATAGCATCCTTCTGAAGGGAAAAAGCAAATTACTGCTTAGTTTATGTTCGAGGAAATATTAATGCTCTTCTAAGGTGTGTAGCACTTGTATAACACTTATGCTTTGCAAGAATATTTCATATCTGTTGTCATTTCATGCTCACAACAACCTTGTAAATGAGATAGGGCAAATAATTCCTATTTGACAGAGGGGATGCTGAGGCATAAATAAGAGACTGAGTTAAGGTTGCTGGCTCAACAAATAAATGACTGGGACAGCTTACTGTATTTCATTTTTGAATTGTAACTTTCAGAAAATTTTATAGGAGGAAAAAGCTGTGAATGCCCCTCTTTTTTGTTGTTATTTTTTAGCGGCGTCTTAGACATCTTCGGAACATTGCTGCCCGGAACATTGTTAATAGAAATGGCCATCAGCTCCTTGATACCTACTTCACACTTCACTTGTGTAATGCTGAGAAGATATATAAAGGTAAGGGAATCTGTGGACTTGCTACCCACAGATCGTTATGTCTCATTTTTATTCTTTTGTAGCACGGGTGATTCTCAGTGCCTCTTGCTTTTATTGTTTACTGGAAAGCTAAATTGTCATGCTGTCTTAAAATATTTCATGAGCCGTTGTTATATATATTTAAGAAATGTAGCTTTTAGATCTTTCAGATTAACCGAGCCTTACATTGATAAACTTATCATTCCTTTATGAATGTTAGCTATTCATATCTTTAATCTAGTAGCTGTCATTTCAAATAGATTATATGAGTCCAGTATCCAATACTAATTTGCTTTTTTTTAAAAATATAGTTAATTTCTTTAGTATAATGGTAAAATTGGGACCTAGGACATATCTTCTTGTATTTGTAATTCCTAGTGTATATAGGGTCATTTTTAGAAGAATTGCATGGTTTCTTTGAATTCAGTTTCACATATTGAAATGTGGATTCTTTCATAAGTGACAGTTCTAAGAATAGCCCAAATATTTGTTTCAAAATCACAAGCATCTTTTGAATGCATATTGGGTGAAAGGGACTTTGATATAATCAATTGACTTATGTCCAATGATATAAGAGAGGAAGCGTGGTATAATGATAGGAATATTGGATTAGGATTGAAAATACATCAGTACTGTTTCTAGCTCAGCTATTTACTAGCTGTGTGACTTTGGACAAAGATCATGGCTTTTTGAACCTCCCTTTTTCCATTTGTAAAGCGGAGATAATCTTATGAAGTCTGCAAGGCAGGTTTTTATGAGGATCAACTGAGAGAAGGTGATAGCATTTGGTAAGATGTGATTAAAAGTCTATTTATGTTAACAAAAGGTGGCGTTATTATAATAAGTGGTCCTAAGGACTTATTTGAAAAATTCAAATGACATTTTACCTTTTTGGTTTTAAAAACTGTTGTTAAATCTGTAGTTTAACAACTTTTTTCTTTTTTTAATTTTAACACCAGTATATGCTCATTAAAAAATTCAGTCAGGAATTATATAGAGTAGAATCCCCCCCATTATTATTTAAATTAAATAATACTATTTAATTAAATAGCATTAAAATAACTTTTCTTTTTTGCTGAGGAGATTCACCCCGAGCTAACATCCGCTGCCAATCTTCCTCCTTTTCTGCTTGAGGAAAGTGAGCCCTGAGCTAATGTCTGTGCCAGTCTTTCTCTGTTATATGTGGGTTGGCACCACAGCATGGCTGATGAGTGGTGTAGGTCTGTGCCCAGGATCTGAACCCGTGAACCTGGGCTGCCGAAGTGGAACACGCTGAACTTAACTGCTACACCATGGGGCTGGCCCCTACATTAATTTTTAAGGATGAAAAAAAAAAGGACTCTAAATACTTCCATTTTCACATAATTTTATTTCATTCTTATTTTTCATTCTAACTGTTGCATTTTTTAAAAACACGATTGCATTAATCTGAATTATTAATGCTAGCTACTATAACAAATGCCACAAATCTCAGTGGCTTAACGTAATAAATTTCTTACACTAAGTCCGGTGCAGGTGGTCTTTATCAGGTACTGTCTTGGCAGCTGTCCTCTAAGTGGTGACTCAGGTATCCAGGCTCTTTCTATTTTGAAATACTGCTGTCATCAACACATGACCTCTGGCATGGCAAGAGAGAGGAATTATTTGAGGAAATTTTTTTAAATGGAAATGACCCACATCAGTTCCATCACATTCCATTAGACATAAATCAGTTGTGTTGTCCTTTGTGGATGAAAAGGGGACTTCTTATGTGTGTCTTTCTGTGTGTCCAGAGGGAAAATAAAACAGTTTGGACACTATTTGTCCTAAGGGTACAAGCATTTTTGCAGACCTTAATGCATTTGGTCTACTGCTCACTAATTGGTTTTATCACTAGCAATGTATATGACAATGCCAGAGTATTAGAAATTTTTGATAAGTTTCTATATAATCTGTCCTGGATTATCTTCATAGAACTTCTGTGTGCTTGCTCCAGTGTTATCTCTGATAATAGTAATTAACATAGTACTTAGTATACTTTAGGTATTTGGTAAATGACAGCAATTACTATTAGAATTGTTATGTTATGTTAATAATCATTAGTTTCATAGTTTCATTAGATTCATCACTAATCATAGTAGTTTCTTTTTTCTTTTTTTTTTTTTTTGCTGAGGAAGATTCGCCCTCAGCTAACATCTGTTGCCAGTCTTCCTCTATTTTGTATGTGAGCTGCCACCACAGCTTGGCCACTGAGTGGTGTAGGTCCGCGCCCGGGCACTGAACCCAAGCCGCTGAAGCGGAGTGCTCCGGACTTAACTACTAGGCCATGGGGGCTGGCCCAATAGTAGTTTCTAAAAAGAGAGTAGTCATGGGACTGGTTGATGACTATGATGTAAAAACTTGTCTGAGAGATACAATGATGAAAGCAAAGTGATTTTTTTTTGTTTGTTCTTGTTTTTGTTTTTTGTCTTCAGATTGCATCTTGAGCTTAGAAGTTATCATGGACTGTTTCTTGAAGTTATCTCAATAAAATGATCATTAACACAATTAGGGAATAGCTGGTGACAGACCAAAGGGAAGTCTAGTGTCTGGTAGTGGTATTGAGTCTGTGACTAACTGGCAAGCCCCTTGGCTAGGGCGTTTAGTTCCTCTTTTGAGCTTTAGTTAGTTAACTCTAAAATGAGAGGACTGATGATTTCTGAGACTTCCTCCTGCTCTAAAATGTCATGGTTGAGTGAAGTCTATTCATAGTCTTCTTTTTTGGGCCCATATGTTGGACTCTATAGCTTTTAACTACCATAGGAGGAGTCTGGAAGCTCTTTCCTTAGTAAACCTAGTTAATACCGCCTTATCTTATTAGACCTGTGATGACAAACACAAATATTCATTTCATGATCGTTGTGTGGCCCTTGGTGTAGGATGACCACGATAGAAGGCCGATTGATTCTTCTCACAAAACCACCTGTGCCACCTGCTTAATGGCATCATTTCTTAGTTTTAGAAGAAAGGTTTTTTGTTGGAAGAATATCTGAAATGTTGATTTCTAAGTTATTGTTTTATTTCAGCTAAATTCACAGCAAGTCCTAAAAAGTTATGTGTGAAGTTTTTTTGATTTTTGACATCTTTTAGTGTTCTTGGGAGATTGTCTACTTTTTTAGGTAGTTCAAATCAAACATCAGTTATCACATTGCCAGAGAACAAAACCTTGTGTTAATGGGTGAGGAGCTAGGTTCTAATCCTGGTTTCCTCTTAAATTTGGAATTTTTATAAAATCAAGTTTGTTCTTCAGCCATAGTTATTTTCTTACCCATGAAATGTGAGTGCTTGTCCTCTCCTGGAATACTAACCAGCTATTTTGAATACATCAGAAGACGAACCCTATATCTGTGATCTTATCCAAGTCTCATAGTTTTAAATATCATTGATTGGGCTGGCCCCGTGGCTTAGTGGTTAAGTGCTTGCGCTCCGCTGCTGGCAGCCCGGGGTTCGGATCCCGGGCGCGCACCGACGCACCGCTTCTTCGGCCATGCTGAGGCCGCGTCCCACGTATGGCAACTAGAAGGATGTGCAGCTATGACATACAACTACCTACTGGGGGTTTGAGGGGAAATAAATAAAATAAATTAAAAAAATATATATCATTGATCACTCTAACAACTCGCAAATTGTATCTTTAGCTTGGATCTCCCTTCTGAACTCATACTCCTGTGTTCAGTTGCCTACTCTCCCTTTCTGTTTGGAGTTTAGTAGGTAAATTAAATTTGATATATTCAAAACTGAGTTTCTGATGTTCTAGCTCTGACCTGTCTCCTGTATTCTTCCTTCTGTCAGAAAATGGTAGCTCCACCCTTCTGTTTCCTTGGCCAGGAACCTTGGAGTCATCCTGGATTGTCCTCTTTCATATCTCACATCCAATCTTTCAGCAGATACTTTTGGCTCTTATTATTAAAAGTATATCCATAATGTAATCACTTCTTACTATCTTTGAACCATTGTCATCTCTTGCCTGAATCGTTGAAGTAGACTTCTAACAGGTTTGCATGGCCGTGCACCCTCTTTACTATGTTCTCAACCAAGATCCTATTAAAATGAAAGTGAGATCATGTTATTCCTCTCCTCGGCACCCTCCAGTGGCTTCCCATCTCACTCAGAGGCAAAACTAAAATCCTTTTGGTTTCCTAGAAGACCGTTCATGGTCTGACCCTCTTACCTCTTGGAACTCATCTCGTGCTGCTCTTCTAGTTCTGTCTGTTCCAGCCACACTGACCTTCTGGCTGTTCCTTGAATACATTAAGTTTGCTTCACTTTAAAGGCCTGTGTACTTGCTGTTTCTTTGGCCTGGGCACTGTTTGCTCCTGATATCTGCATGGCTAGCTCCTCCACCTTCCTTCAGGTCTTTACGCTGAACGTTTTCTTGGAGAAACTCTCCTTGATGGCTGACTAACCCTTTTAAAAATTGTGACTATTCTCCTCCTGTCTTTTGTGCTTTATTTTTCTCCACAATTCTTAAGATCATCTGACATACTATATGTTTAATTATTTGGTTAATGTATGTCTCTCTCTCCACTAGAGTATAAGCTCCATGAGGGCAGAAATTTTTAGGTCAGTAATTTTTAAGTCAGTTTTGTTCACTTGTACTGTCTCTAGTACTTGGAACAATGTTTGGCACATACTAAGACCTCAAATTTATTTTTTTTCATTTAATTTTTTCAAAAGCTAATGTAGTCCACAGGTCAAAATATATATATAAAGGTTTATATTAAAGTCTTTCTTTCACCTGTCCCATCTCTCTAGTTTTCCACCCCACCCTGATAACTGCTGTTACTCATTTCTTGTTTATCTTTCCTGAGATTCTTTATGCAAGTAGAAGTAAAAATAGTTCCAAACTATATATATTTCTGTGCCTTGCATTTTTCACTTAATATATCTTAGATATTTTTCCATATCAGTTCATAGAGAGCTTCCCAAATTTTCTGTGTACTTCTACATTGAATAGATGTACCATAAATTATTTAACTGGCTCCTATTGATAGGCATTTATAGGTTGTTCTAGTCTTTTGCTATACACACAATACTTCAGTGAATAACTTTTTTCACTATGTTGTGTGACTGCTAGTATAGCTATAGTATAGGGGAAAATTCCAAGAAGTGCAAGTACAAAGAGAGTGTGTACTTCTAGTTTTGGTAAATATTGCAGAATTGTCCTAGTTCACATTCCCACTTGCTGTATGTGGGTGCCTTCTTCCCACAGCCTCACCAACAAACTGTGCAGTCAAACTGTTGAATTTTTGCCAATCTGATAGGTGAAAAATAGTTTTGTAGTGTAGTTTAAGTTTGTATTTCTTCTATTATGAATGAGATTGAGGTACTAAAAAAACATTTGTTGGATGAGTGGAATGCTGCATTACAGCCATGTGACGCCAGTGGAACCATGCTCTGCAGTCTCTGATTGCTTTGTTTCTTTAGGTCTCAGCATGAGTAGAGAAGCATTTGTATCTAATGGTCTCTTTCAGTAGAAATAGGTCTTGGATGATATCTTTTTAAAAGTTTACTTGTCAAGTAGTTTTGCTCAGAATGAATTAATAAAAATTAATAGAATTATATTAATAAAAATTATAGTTTATAAAGTGTTTTTAACTCACTATTTCATTTGGGCTTCACAACAACCCTGTTATTTTCCAGATGTCATTCTCCTTTGAAAGGTGAAGAAACTATGGCCCAAAAAGGTTAATTGACTTGTCCAGGGTCAAGCTTACACATGATCAGTAGGAGACTAGAACTATTTTTTGACTTTAAATTCTCCTAAATTCACTATTCTGTTTTATACCATGCCACTAATTTCATTGACAGTATTTTAGATGTAACAGAATGATAGACAGTGTAGGCCCACGTTTAGCATGTAAGAAATTACCTCAGACTTGGTGATTTCTTTCCAAATCGTATGGCTGCTTTATTGATCTCTCTCCATTTAAATTAGCAAGTCCATTTTGAGGGTCTAAATGGAGAACACAAGTTGTTTAGTTTCATTTATATGTAGTCAGTCAGTCAGCAGAGTTTTCGAAGAAATAATGATACTATTCATCTTCGTAGAGCTGGAGATATTTCTTTGGGCACTGTTTAATTTAGGTACTTTGCAGGTTAAGCTAAGGAATTCTCTTTCAAAAGAAAAAAGGAGTATCTTTATTATTTTTTTTCACGGATTTTAAAAGTAATATATACTTGCAACAAATTCAAACAAAACAAATATGTGTTAAGAATAAAGTGAAAGTACCTTGTTATAGAAAACAATACTTTTTTAGCCCTTTTAGTCTTTTTTTTCCTAAAAATATGTATGGTACATATAAATTAGAATATATGTGTATAGATACGCATACATACATACATGCACACGTACATTTATATAGTTAATTTATGGTTGGAATAATTGGTTAACCATTAGGGGAAAAAATGAAAAGAATAATACTTAGGGTTGCCTGGGGAAGAAGATATTTTCATAAGTGGGATCATAAATTGGTACAATATTTTTAGAGAATAATTGGCAATATCTATCAAATTCAAACTGTATTTTTTCTTTGTTTGTGAGATGGACTAGCCCTGAGCTAACATCCGATGCCAATCCTCCCCTTTTTTTTTCTTGAGGAAGATTGGCCCTGGGCTAACATCCGTGCCCATCTTCCTCTACTTTATGTGGGACGCCGCCACAGCATGGCTTAACAAGCGGTGCATCGGTGCACGCCTGGGATCTGAACCTGCGAACCCCGGGCCGCCGAAGCAGAGTGCACGCACTTAACCGCTTGCACCACTGGGCTGGCCCCTGTATTTTTCTTTTTATCTTGCAATTTTACTTCTAAATGTTTATCCTATGGATTCAAATGTCTTAGGATATATATCTTTAAAAGATTGTTTATTTTTAATATTACTTGAAATATCTAAAAATTAGCAGTAATCTAAATGATCATCAGTAGGAGATACCTTTTAAAAACAATTAGAATTATCCCTTTTCTTATTTAAAATAATTGCTCAAAATAGAAAAATTAGAAAACTGCCAACCAAAAAATAAAAGTAAGCAGCCTAATTCTATCAGCTAAGATAGACATTGTTAGCATAATTATAAAAATTTGGATCCTGTTGTAAATTCTCTTTTAGAACCTGTTTTTTTTACGTAATACATTGTGTCTCTCTCTGCACAAAACAGAATAATTATCCTTATCTTTTTTTTCTTTTTTGAGGAAGACAGGCATAGAGTAATATATATGGTATGTTTGTCAAGAAGCATTTTAGCCAAAAGAGTTTGCACAGACGAGTATTGTGTCCAGGTCTGCTTTTCCTTTATTGCTGGATGATTCCTGAGCCGCAGTCAGTAGTGGACCACTTTGACAAGTTTCACTCTTATCTCAGTTTCACCTGTACTTTACATACTTAATATATTTTTAAGTTCATTATTTTTAAACTTATGTCTAAGCATAATCTGTGAAATTGTTCATTCAATAAAAAAATATTTATCAAATGTCTTCCCTGTGCCTGGAATGGTTTTATTTGTTGAGGAGACAGCAGTTACACAAAACAAACACTGCTGCCCTTTATGGAGCTTACAGTTGGGGTTGAATATATGAGGCATAAATTTCAGTGCATTAGGAAAAAGTAAACTTCGTGCATGTGTCACCTGAAATCATCTCAAGTACCAGTGGGACGTGCATCACACTTGGGTAATATTGCCCTCTAGCAACATAAGGATGCAAGGGGCCTTGTAGGCTCTGCAGAAATCAAGCATCATGGAGATGACTTGAGCTGGGTCAGCAGAGGGAATGTTGGAAGGTTGTTGGGAATGTCGGTCTGAAGCTCTGACACCTTTCTTTTGATCATGTCTTCAGGTTTTGTAACATTTATGACGTATATGAAGGTTTGTAGAATCCTGAAATTTTAATGCTTACAAAGACCTTTGATTAGTTGTCGAATTCTCTACGTTGTCTAATGAAAAATGGGCCCAAGGAAATTAGAAGCAGAATGTTAATGACAGGTAGAACTAGAACTTTAATGTTACCTGATTACTAGATCAGTATTTGTTCCACAGTACTACAGTGGATAAATCATTGGAGATATTTGAGAAAAACAGAGCATATGGAATCAGCTGTAGAGAGTGGCAGTAGGTAAGGGGGAAGAAAGTCGGAGTTTTTAAGGACTCAGATTTGAATCTAGGGTAAAAGGAGCCAGCCAGTAAAGTTAAATCTAAATTAAGGTTAAACTAAATTAAATCTTAACAGGGTTTGGCCTTTCTTTACTAATGTTTTCCTCTTTAAAACACTTTTATTTAATCTTTATTTCTATTTTAATTTATTTTTTGCAGATAAAGATATAGGGAGAATAGATCCCTTGAAAATGTTTTAAATGTTTTGCTGGAACATATGTAAAAAATTTACAGGATTAAGAGTTAATAAGCTTATTTTCTTCCATATCACTTATTGTTCTTTTTCTTTTTTTCCAGAATTTTATAGAAGTGAAGTGATTAAGAATTCCTTGGTAAGTTTGCTTTCTGACAGGTACATATGACTAAGCCTGTAATTCCAGTTTCAGAAAATGCTGAGACATAAAATAAGTTCAAGTTCAGTTCTGATAGTTAAATCTTCTGCTCAGTTATTGCTTAAATCTTCATTGATTTGTTCATTGCTTTATCTCTAGAGCTTAGAACATGCCTGGCACAAGTAGGTGCTTGATAAATATTTGCTGAATGAACTGATATTTTTTCTGTTAAAAACTTTAGTGTTTTCTCAACTCAAAATCTATGATTCTATCCCTTCTATTTGCTGTAGAGGTTATTGACTCTTTGACTTAACAAACGTGGTAATCAATGATATCTTTGTTTAGATAAAGTTCTTAAGAATTTTATGTCTAGGGCCATCATATAGGATCCTTCTACTTTTTATTTTTTGGCAATGGCATTGCCATTGCTCAGTTAGAAATTTGAAAATGTCCTGCTTTTGATAATGTGTACACTAGATAATTGCATAAATGGCTCAATTTATTGGGCCATGTTGATAAAAAGAAAAGCTTTATGGTAATGATAATACTCTTTTCATGGTCCAGGGCCATACTGGATTTGGCTCCTGTTCACTTTTTCAACCTCATCTCCTAGTATTTTCCCTCACTCACTGTGTTCCAGACGTACCCCATCTTTTCAGTGCTTCAGACATGCCAAGCTTGTCTTGTTCATTATGCCTAACACACCTGTTCCCCGGGTTCTTCATTTGGCTGAAGAATCCTTTGAGTTCTCAGCTATGTCACTTCAGCTAGGCTTTCTATGACTAGTCTATCTAGTTCCCTTTCCCCTAGTCACTCTTGTTTACATCACCTGTTTTATTTTCTTTAGAGCATTCATCACTATTGGAAACTCTTGTTCACTTATTTGTTTGTGTTTATTGTCTGTCTAGGGACCTTGCCAGTCTTTCTCATCACTACATGCTAGAGTTTAGAATTGTATAGATGCTCAGTGAATATTTGTTAGATGAATAAATGGATATCAGTGATGTGTTATATTTACAGAATCCTTTTACGTATATTATCCCCTTTGATCCTTAGAACAACCTGTAAGGTAGATGGGGTAGATCTTAAGAAACTGATGTCCAGAGAGGACTAACAACTTTTGTAGTCACACAACTGCAAAACCAGAGCCCCAGTCCTTAGACCTTCTGTCTTCAAGTCTCTGCTGCTACTCTTTCCTCTTCATCAAGATGTCTTCTAAATGTCTCTAAAATGTCATAATAGGTTTGGATCCTAGACCAGACAGGTTCCTTGGGCCCATCTCTTCAGAGCTCCAGTCTCCAGTAAAGTTCTTGTTCTACATACATTAAATGATACATGATAAAGGAGTAGCACCATGCCTGACACATAGTAGCTATTGGGTAAATATTAGTTTCTCCTCCTCTCCTGGTTCAGGTGGAAACAGAAGTGAGAGCTGAGGAAGTGGAGATTTTAGGGAGCAGATAGAGGAGAATGTCACTTTGATTTATCTACCCTCTTTTCTATAATCAAAACAATAGTTGGGATGGTTTTACAACATCCCATTGCCTTTTCTCTGGATTTGTGTCATAATGGACCCTATGTGATAGTGGTACTGTACTGTGTTGTTCTACATTATTAGTATTGTATTTACTTGATAATTCACTTGACTTCCAAATCCATATTTCTAAACATCATTTCTCTGAATGTTAACTCTTATCTTCAACTCCTTTTGGCTCCTATCTTCAATTGTTTCTGAGCCATCTATGAATTGTGATATCTTCATCCCTGATGTACTTAGGCTGAATAATGTTTTTTAGAATGGATTCTAGACAAGGGAGAGGATTGGACAAAAAGACTTCCAAGGTCCTTTCAACTTACAGTTTGTTCTGTAATTATTTCCTGAGTATACCACTTAAAACATTTGCTTGCATAGTAATTATTTATGAATATTTCCTCTCCCAAAGTAGAAGAAAGCCTCCCGGAGCTCAGAGATTGCCCGAATGTCTTTATGGCGCCCTAGCTCCCAATGTACTTCTCTTATCTGGTAGTTGTTTGGTAAATGTTGATTTCTTGATGTTTCTTTTTAGAATATTCTTTGAGATTATGTTTTTAGCAAGGATTGTTGTTTCTTTTATAGGTTTAATAAACCTCAATTCATTTCTTCTTTTCTTTTTGAAAGGATTCTGCTTTCTTAGCTTTTTGCTAAATCATTGTTACTGGTTCAGATTAATGGGTATTGGACACTGCAGGAGTCAACAACCCTCAGAGAATATGCACATTGTTACCTCCCTTCTTACTGTCTCTGAAGAACTACAGATGAGCAGAATTTGTTGGTTTCTTCCCTGCTTAGGAGTTTGTGATTCTTAAGCTATTGTGATATTTGCTGAATAGTTAGTGGTTTAAATGCTTTTATTTCTACTGGCTTCCTTTGTGCTTGGCACATAGAAGACACTCAGCAAATGTTTCCTTTTTTTTTGCTGAGGAAGATTTGCCCTGAGCTAACATCTGTTGTCAATCTTCCTCTTTTTGCTTGAGGAAGATTCACCCTGAGTTAACATCTGTGCCAGTCTTCCTCTATTTTATATGTGGGTCACCACCACAGCATGGCCGCTGATGAGTGGTGTAGGTCCACACCCGGGCCACTGAAGTGGAGTATGCTGAACCTAACCACTAGGCCACGGGGCTAGCCCTCAGCAAATGTTTCTTAATGAGTGGAGTCTTCCACAAATATATTTATTGACTGATTTCTAATTAGCTATTAAAGGGTTAGGCAAAATAGTACTTTATTTCTAGCTAAAATTTTGGGTAAGTTTTCACTCTGGTGAGCTAAGCTGGATTCTGGTGAGCTTGTGAGTATTCTTTTTTACTCATGTAACTTGAAGGCTTCGACTATTTCCCCTAGTATTATGTTCTGAGCTTGGTCCTCAGGCCAGACTGGCCTGGTTTTGCCACTCTGATGTCAAAGGAGACATGAACAAATGGACACAAGATTAAAAGGAGTGTTTTTCCTCAACGGTTAGATAAACTATTCTCATGTGCCTATTCTGTGCCTCTTTCTAACTCCTGAATACTACACGTTAGTGCTCTCCAGTGAACTCTCTGCGATGATGGTGGTGTTCTGTGCACTGTCCAGTACAGTGGCCGCTAGCCACATGTGGCTGTTGAGCACTTGAATCGTGGTTATGTCCTACTGAGGAACTGAATTTTTAATTTCATTTAATTTTAATTTAAATAGCCACAAGCGGCTAATGGATATTGTATTGGACAGCCTAGTTCTACATGATTTTGAAAAGCTTTCTTATAATCTGTAATGTTAGGAAGAAATTTCCCATTTTGTATGCTTTTTTTTTTAAAAAAAACCCTTGTACTTATACCACTAGTACCATTCTAAATCAGTGTATTACTGTTCATATGGTTGTCTTAGCTCCTTTAATATGTAGGATAAAACTCATGAAGGGAGAGACGTTGTATGCTTCATCTTTATAACCTTCATAGGCATCGTGTTGTGCTTGGCTTGTACTTGGCCAAGCCAGGTATGTATATATCCTAATCCGAGTTGTCAGTTGTAAGACTTTCTGTTCACCAAGAAAAAATAAACACTTCTAATTAAACGGAAACACAGGGCCTTGGCAGTGTAGTCCTGTGTGAGTTGTAATTCAATCTCACTAGCCTCTTGTTACTTTGAAATTTATTTCACCCGTTCCAAGGTGTTTATTTTGGTGTCTTTTCCTTCCTTCAGATGCATTGCTTAACCTGTGATAGGGGAAGCATCATGTGTATCTCAGCAATAAAATATTAATCAGCCTCCTCGATTTGTGGAGATTGCCTCAAGTCCTATAAAGAAGATGGATGAGGTTATTTCTCCATTGACAAATATTTGCTTCTCTAATACCAAATTCGTGCCTTGTTGCTCTGTTTCTTTGCCTTTCTACCTACACAAAGACATAATACAAACTTAATACTTTTTATTGAAGTTTACCATACATAACAGAAGAGTTTATAGATCTTAAGTATACAATTTGGTAAATTTTCTCAAATTGAGTACACCCATGTAACCAGCATCCAGATCAAAAACAGAATATTTTCAGTGCCCTGGAAGGCCCTTCATGCCCTCTTCAGTTACTACTACTCTCCTGACTTTTAACACCATAAATTAATTTTACCTGTTTTTGAGCTTTCTAGAAATGAAATCATACAGTATGCACTCTTTTGAATCTGACTTCCTTGTGTCAACTTTATATTGTAAGAGTCATTCATATTGCGGGGTATATTTGTAGTTTGTTTGCTCTATAGTATTCCATTGTCTGAATATACCAGAATTTATCTGTTCTTCTGTTGATGGGCATTTGGTTAGTTTCCAGTTTTGAGCTAATGTGAATAGTGCTGCTATGAACATTCCTGTATATATCTTTTGGTTGAACATATATGTATCCATTTCTGTTGGGTGTATATTTAGGAGTAGACTTGCTGGGAATATGTGTATGATCAGCTATAGTATAGATTGCTAAACACTTCTCCAAAATTGTTGTTTTATTTACACTCTCACCAGCAGTCTGAGAGTTCTGGTTACTCCATATTGTTGTGAATAGTTGATATTTTTTTAATCGTTTGAATTTAAATTTTTGATAGCTGTTATATACAGGCCTTTTTTTTTTGTTCAATCTAAATCAAGAGAGATATTTTAAGTGGCAATTAAATTTAGCACACGTAGTGCCAACAGTGTATCTGACTTAAAAGAATTGATATTAAGACCAGCTATTTTTAAGGTTGTGCATGTAGAGACAGTGACACCTGATGACTGCCACCTGGTGGTCAAAGATTGTAGGACCTTATTGATTGTAACATTTCTAAAATCAGAATTCACCTTACAATGTGAGGAAAAGTGCATGTTAGAATTGATGAGAAATCAGAATATGTTGTTAAATGGTAATGAATATAATAGAGTAAAATAAAGCAGGACAAAAGTATATCTGGCAGGGGTGCTTGCTTGTTTTTCTCTGGTAATCACATAGAAGATATCA